ACCAGGCATGGTGTCACATGCCTATAGTCTCAGCTGCTTGGGAGGGTAAAGCAGGAAGATCATTTGAGTCTAGGAGTTTGAGGTCACAGAGAGCTATGATGATGTCACTGTACTCCAGCTGAGGCCATAGAGCAAGACCCTGTCTCAAAAACAAACAAAAACCCAGATTTTTGTTGTTTTAAGTCATTAAGTTTTAAGGTAATTTGTTACCTAGCACTAAGTAACTGCAGTAATATAAGACCTGTTACCATGCCCCCACAAATCAAATACTATCTTCAAGGAACACAAGATTTGGTTTTTTTTTTTTTTTGGTCTATCTACTATATCTTTAGAGGAAACCACTTCCCACCTATTCTTAGTCCATGGAGAACAGAGCAGAGTGCCCCAAACCTGAGTCCTGGAGGGAACAGACGATCCATAGAGGGCTGGCCAACTTGGTACCCACTCCCCTGATTACAGTGATTATTTCAGAGATGGCTATGCACACCCATTGTGAGCTAAAATAAAATCTTTTTTTTTTTTTTTTTTTGAGACAGAACATCAAGCTGTCGCTCTGGGTAGAGTGCTGTGGCATCAAAGCTCACGGCAACCTCCAACTCCTGGGCTCAAGTGATTCTCCTGCCTCCACCTCCCAAGTAGCTGGGACCACAGGCGCCTGCCACAACACCTGGCTATTTTGGGTTGCAGCCATCATTGTTGTTTGGCAGCCCGGGCTGGATTCAAACCCTCCAGCTCAGGTGTATGTGGCTGGCACCTTAGCTACTCGAGCCACAGGCACCGAGTTGAAAAATATCACTTTTAATAGGCTTCCTTGCAATAACAAATTTCCTCCAGAATACAAAGGCAAATTTGGAAAATTCACTAGTTAAAAAAGTTTATAATTATTCTAAATTTCATCTTATTAATGAAATCAATGAAATATAACACACCAGTGATTATAAAATGCTTTATTTCAGGTAACACTAAGAAAGGAAAAAAATTACCATTTAAATTGAGGCTCGGGGCCTGTGGCTCAAGCCGCTAAGGCGCCAGCCACGTACACCTAAGGTGGC